CTAGTCTATGTATTTTCATGACTTGTACATTAAGTTACATAAGTCGAGCAAATTTAAATATATGTCTTCCATTTTTACAAAAACTTTTGAAGTATGTATATGTTCGCGTATGTATAAAAGAGATAGAAAACGCAAGCTAAAAAATAGAAATTGGCTTGAACTTTCGTAGTTTACTTTAGGTGCGTTAATGGAATAATTGTCATAGCTACGGGTACGGTTCCCGTAACGTAGTTTGTGACACCTAGTTACTAAAATTCGGGGGTACAGTTATGTGACCCGGCCACAATTTAATCTTTTAAAAAAAATTAAACATTTTGTAGATCGTGAGTACGGTTCTCGTGACATGATTCGCAATATGTAACAATAATTAAATAAAAGCGGTTATAAGGTAAAAATGCACAATAGTTTAAAAAATATATTAAAATCAGATAATATGCCAGTTATAATAGTTTAAGCGGCTGTGCTAGAACCACGGAACTCGGGAATGCCTAACACCTTCTCCTGGGTTAACAGAATTCCTTACTTAGAACTTCTGGTTCGCAGACTTCAAAAGGAAAGTCGAATTTCCTCGATTTGGGAGTTAAAAATAAATCTGTGACTTGTGACACCAATTAAAATATTCCAAGTGGCGACTCTAAAAAAATTAAATAAATAATTCCATTTCGAATAATGTCATTTAAATTGGAAAAACTCCCTTATACTACCTTCGGGTGTGTAAAAAGGAGGTGTGACAGCGGTCATTGAACGTTTTACTATAGCAATAAATTCATAAAATTATTTTTATCACATAAAAAAATAAAGTGTACCCATTTATGCACAAAACTATTTTCTTTTCTTTTTGTAGAAATTATTACTTAAATTTTAACACCATTTGCATCCAATTAGGATCTTGATCTTTTATTTCTTTTCTTCACATAGAAAATGAATCGTCGACCTTTCTTTTCTTTTAAATTAAGATTAAGATGCTTTCTTTATGGGATCTCGTTGTCTATGTTGAAAACAATGCCAATTTTCCTACCAATAATTAGTGATGCAAAGCAATGAACTTTTTTTCCTCCTCTCTTTTCCTGTTTAGAATTGGTCAATTCACAATAGGTGTAATAGTTTTATATGTATATATTTCAATTCTTTTATATGTGTAAATAAATAATTTGAACAAGAATAATTAATCGTTCTAAATCTACCTCTGCTGGGGACGAAGTACTCGTGTTGTATATGTGATCTAAATAATAGTAATACTTCTAAAGAAAATTATCAACGTCGTAAAAAGAAAGATAAAAGATGAAGATTACAAAGATTAGAGATCTCAGATTCCATATATGGACGCCCATTTAATTTACATCCACAAATATTTCACAAAAGGAAATATTAGAAACCGCAAAAAGAAAAAAAAGATTCAACAAAATTGTTTGATGGGATTCACTCTCTTCATCTTCTTCGTGATTCCCATCATATCTTTACACAAGATTTTTTTTAAGGTGTCGAAATTCATCCTTATTTTTCTGCATATCGTAAAACTACTTGCAGCATCAGAAACCATTTTCTTCCCTTTTTTTATTTAATTTTTTGACTTGTCGCTTCCTCATTCATGATTTAATCGATTCAAGCGACTGCAACTGTGCCATTTCTCACAGCTTTATTTGCATCAGTTTCTTTGGTTGGGGTTTCAGTTTTTGTTCGTGAGGATCTCTTTGATGCAGAAAGTTTCCATTTTCTTTCATTAGCTTCATCCATTTCTATCTGCTCTTGTCTGCATTCTTCGCTACAAAATGGTGTATCCCCTCTGTAATCAATCACAAACAAGTCGGATCAGCTATTTATATATATTCTCACTATTTATGTGTATTGTGAGGCCTCGTCATAAATTGACTAGTAACTTTATATTCCATTGATCATACAAGAGCCGGATCCATGATTTAAACTGTTTGATAACTGAATTGAATGTTTTTTTTTTGTATTTATGTATGGGTTCAAATTTTAATATTTGTTGAAAATCTTAGTAAAAGATGTATGTAAAATGCTAACCTGTACATGAAGATGTCACTGTTGTGAGCCAAGGGCCTTTGGCAAAGAGTGCAAGCATCAAGAAAATGAGGTTGGTAGTGGTGATCTTCACACCCAGTGTAATATAGTGCAGCTGACTTCATTCTTCTGTATAATGAAGAAGAAATTTAAAAACCTTGTTTTCTTCTGTAAAAAAACAAATAAACTGGATCTTGCTGATATGATATTGGTATGAATGATAAGTGCAGAGAACAGGAGAAGAAGAGTAAAGTAGATTCTGGGAGGAGGGTGAGAAGGGCCAAACTCTCTTATATAATGAGGGCTGGCCAGAGAAGAAATAAAAAATGATTTTTTTTTAAAAAAAAAAAACTTAATTGGGTCTATAGACAATTTATCAAATAATTAAAGGACTGCCAAGTCACCAAATTCTACTAGCACCAAGAATAACGTAGTTTGTTGGGAGGAAGTAAAGTTGTTTATATATGAAAATTATTAAAATTGTAATAAATAGTATGAACTCATAAGTTTAAATGTGAACTTGTAGAATTAAAATCTTAGATTCGCTTCTGGTGTGACCTATATGTCATGGTTTCGAGCTGTGAAATTAGTCACTTACTTTTGTATCAAGATAGGGTGATTATAGCATACCTCTTGGGGTACGGTCCTTATTTGAACCATACATGAACACGGGATGCTTCGCGCACTGATTTTTTTTTTTGGTTAGGTGCTGTATGGACCACTATGGAAAAGGTAGTACTCGTGGTAGTAATTCTGAGACTTCGGGGAGCAAACATGAATATAAGAAATAGTTAAAAAGGAAAAAGGGAAAAAAAAGGAAAACTACTCACTGTTTCTCAGAATCCAAGGGGTGGTATAGTGGCAGTATTACTACTAGCCCAATTTGGTCACGACAAGCAAGCAAGAGTACTTTTTGTAAAATTGTGCTTTTTGAGTGCACTAACTTCTTTATTAGCAATTTGCTCCCTCATATTTGAGGGAATATTTGACAAGTGCATGAACTTTGATTATATTAGTATTAAATTGTGGTGCATATATTTCTTTTCAGATTTGAATTACAATTCTAGGTCTAGACTAATTTTGACCTTTCCTGTAAAGGGGTGCTTTTTCTTCCTAAGTACAAAAATAGCCGTACTAACCCTATAGTACAAAGAATAGCCGTACTAAAAAGAAATTTATTAGTCTCGAGCTTCTTATGACTCATTTCAATTTAGTTTTACCCCTATTCATTTTTTTTTTAAAGAATCTTGGCATGGAGATCTGTGATACAAAAGATAGTATAATAATTTGTATCACAAATTATTCAACATATAAAGAAATAAAATTTTATTATCGATCAATTATTCCTATAATATTTTGAAACTTCAGATTATGGACATGTAAAGTTTTATTGCATAGATACTTAACATTATTTTTCATAAAGCATAAAAACCTTCATCATTATATAGGCGTATGAGTGTGTGAAATGATTTTAATATATTTTTACTTTTTAAAGAGGGCATAATTAATTTTTTTTTATTTTCTATCCGGTGTCCGGTACTCATATTGAGGCCCGATAAAATTCGGATTCACTGAAAAATCCCACATTGTAAGGTAAAATGCTCCCTAACAAAGAGTACTTACCACTCCATCACAACTTTTGTGGGTAAGAAAGGCATGACTAGTGATTTAATGTTTTGATCTGATTCTCAAAATTAAAATATTGCAATATTCTTCCTCCAGCTAAAAATGCATCATAGAAAAAACAAATGGTAGCTGGAGCTAAATTTCCCATAATATAGGGCCTTGTAGCAAAATGCAAAAAGCAAAAAACACAAAGTTGAAAATAAAACCCACTAATTTTCTCCATCATCACATGAAGACTTATCATGATTTCTCTAGAAAAGCCACCCTTTTTGCTTTGTCATTTTTCTTTCCTCCCACATTGGAGCTGCGTCAGCGTAGGTCCCACTGACCCCACAATACAACACAGCTCTGGGCCCCGTATTCTTACATAATTAGAGCACAGCCAATTAAAAACCACGAATTTGGTGGGACCCGAGGTAAAGGGACCAGCATAAGACATGCGGGCTCTATTTTCAAAGTCTTTGTCTACCCCCTGCCCCGGCTCTCTGCCCGTACCCGTCGGGCAGCATTATTCTAACGTCTTCGATTATTGATTTTTGGTATTCCGGTTACACGTCCATCCTCGTCAGTTCACCAGCGAAGCGCCAAATCAATACTCCTTCTGGACACGTGGTTTTTGATGTGTTGAAGAGGATTTGTTCTTGTTCGAGGCGTCACTGTTTACGAGGTCAATGGAATCTACGGCTGTGATCTCTCACCGGAAGTAACTGAATTATTATTATTTTAAGGAACTGAATTATTGGGTTCACACAATTACTATACTTTTTTTTTTTTTTTTTTTTTTTTTTTTTTTTTGCTCTCTCTCACTCTGTCATTCACACGTAGGATTTGTTTGGCCATTGTTACACGTTCCTATTCTTTTTTAGTGGTGATCCTACAATAGACCTACCTTTCCCATGTGCAAAATTATATATTTCACTCCAATATTAACTGGCATATGTTGACATCATCAACCAATACCCTATATGTAAACGCAAAATCTTTTTACATAAGCGATGTGAACTTTAAACTATAATACTCCAGAATTTTGAGATCATAAAATGAATAATTGGGTTGGTAAGTGAATTTGATTCTGACACTATATTTGTACATGTCCCAAATTGCGATATTCTCTTTGAAACAATATATATGTATGTCAGAGCACGTCTTACAAATAGACCTGCCACAAGATATATGATCTTGAAATTTTCATTTCAAAGTATCCACATTAACTCGCTAACTATTAGGTTAGGACGGCATTAGCCATTTAATTGTTTATTTTAGTTACAAAACGTGAATCGACTAACTAGTAGAAACAAGTTTAGCACATGAATTGATTAAGGATCAAGTTCCTCATATTGTTTTTTCCTTCAAATGGATAAAAGAATTGATTTGAGAAGGGAATAAAAGAAAGGTGGTGTAGAATTCTTTACCTACATCAAATTCAGTTTTCCTATGATACATAACAAATCTATCCAAATTATACTATGTGATAAGCAATCAAATGATTTTTTCAATCAAACATGTCGAGTTTTAGTACACAAAATAAAACTATTCTTTAAAATTTTTACAGTTATTGTAATCTCCTTATTGGACTTTGCTTACATCCTCGTTTAAAATATGAAGGAAAATGAGAGATCAACCTAACTGAGGAATGATATTTTCTTGTTCCCTAGCTAGATTTTTCTATTTTCTTTGTACCTTTCTCTTAACCAACGATGTTTCTCTTTTATATTACATGTGTGGAAGTCGAAGTATCTGACAAAGAGATTTCATTTGCTTATTTAAAGAATTGCAAGTTGTTTAAGATCTCTATCTTCAAATAATGAGTTGTCATGGTTTTAATACCTGGAACTGAGTCAGAAGCAATAATATCACATGCATGTGATAGAACTAATTAACTCTAAAATAACTAGAGATTATGGACCCTAAACATGTAGAGGCATCTGTTTTCCAAATTGTAATAGTTTTTCTTTTCATTATTTGGAATTGTTAGGTCAAATTTACAATCATGTTGTAAATGTGTCTTTGTTTTTCAAGTGATGATGATGTTGGTAAGTTGTGGGTGAATTTAATTTGTACGGCCACTAAGGAGTATGTTTGCGGAAAATCGTGGGTTAACTAGCATACAATTACACACAAAGCAAATAGAGAAGAAAAATTAACACAAGAATTTAACGAGGTTCGGCTAAACCTAATCCTAGGGGCAACATCAGAAAAAGTTTTCCATTAAGAATGAGAAGAAAAGCATAATACAATCTATAGAGTCCTCAACTACAACCCTTATATATAGATCCCAAATAGTCTCAAATTTATAGGAGAAAGGTTTCCCACTTTGACAAGGACAATAAGTTTTCCTTTCTCAAATCTATTAGGACAATGGATTTTCCTAAACCTACAGGGATTATGGATTTCCTAAAAATACAAGGAAAAAATTCTAGCCACAAAATAACAAATCTTCCCCTTGGCTTGAATTCTCTTCATTAACACAAACAATGTCTCTCTACCTTGCCCTCAGCTCCCACGAGGGCTCTACCTATTGGCACATACATCAAGTATAGGCAACGCTTAAACTTGTTAAGAGGCCCAATCTCTTCAGCTATAACACTAATCCATCGATTTGGTTCTGTACCTTGAATAACTTCTGGATATCTATAACACTCAAACGCATCAATGGTCTCTACTGCCCAAGCAAATTTCACAGGATTCGTATATCCAAGAAGATTCCCATCAACTACGTTTGCAAACCTTTGCGGTCGGTTGATCACTCGCTTCTCTCTGCCTGTTGCAGTGCTATATGGTTGTTGTTGCGTAGGTGCATCAACATTATCATCTTGATCAATATTTTGCACCTTCTCCACTTTTTTTACTTTAGAACTACTGCGCTAAGCTAGTGGAGATTCAATTTATAGCTTTATGCGGTCACTGACACCACGATCTGTTTTCACTATTTCCTTCTCCCTCTAACTGTCTAGTAAGGCAAATTCATTGAGTGTTACATCCCTGTCACACCTCCTTTTGGCGCGCCCGGCCCCGAAGGGTAAAAATGCGCGGGTGGAGTTTTTCCAATTTAAGTGACAATATTCGAAATGGGATTATTTATTTAATTCAGAGTCGCCACTTGGGAAAGGTTTGGTTTTTGGTGTCCCAAGTCACCGGTTTATCTTGAATCCCAAATCGAGGAAATTTTCGACTTTTCCAAATGAAGTCTGCGAACCAGAAATTCTAAGTAAGGAATTCTGTTGACCCGAGGGAAGGTGTTAGGCACCCTCGAATCCCGTGGTTCTAGCACGGTCGCTTAAATTGTTATAATGGCTAAATATCTGATTTAAATACATGTTGTGACTTATGTGCTTTTATTGAGTTTAAACCGCTTTTATTATTATCATTTATTTTTATAGAATTACAACGTCGTGAAAATGCACCTCGAACTACGTCACAATCAATGCACCTGTAGTTGTTAACGCATTTCGACTCCGTTGAGATTTGAATTCGGGTCACATCAATGTGCACTCGAGTTTAAGAACGTAATTTAATTAAGCCGTGCCTAAAAAGTCTAACGCGTTATTTATTTTTGTAGAAGGCCATGAAATTAGCTAAACGGCCTATCCTGGACTCTACATAATTATTATGGTTACTTATTGAGAGCCCCGCAATTTTGTATTTTTATTTGGCGA